GTGGAGTGCACCATTCGGTTTTATATTATAATATGTGATGCGACGGAGACCGTCTCTTATCAGTCTACCGTGTCTCCCATTTGTTGAAAATTATTGCAAAACTCGTGCTATGCCGGAGAATGTGTATAGTTTAAGACTAAAATAAGCATTGGAGAAAAGATGTGGACTCGCAGTTAGGACCCGGATTTAACGGTGGCTGTGGCGGCGATGGAGTTACGCGAGCCTTCCGATCTTCGATGTCTCTAGCGTACAAGCGTATATTTAAAGGCGCACCCGTCGTCGGGTTAACAAAGTTTCTCCGCTAACTGTAGTTTATGGTCTCATATACGCATTAAACTGTAATACGTTGATATAATATATTATTACAAGGCCATTCGCGTTCGTCGCCCGTTAATCGGGCACGTAGGTATATATAAAAGCGCCCGGTTCTAACTCGCCACCCTCGTCCGCCACCCTCTCGCGGGCACCCACCCTTCAAGACGGCCCTGCTCGTTTTTCCCGCCGCGTGCCGTCGGCAGCTGCACGTTATAGTGCATTACGATACACAATATTATAATGGCCTCGCGTGCCCTGACACACGAGCAACAAGCGTCGTGTTTAAACTAGGATTATAATATTATTGTCCTACCGTGATTGTCGTAAACGCTATAGGTAGGTAGTAGGTACAGTGCTATACAATTATAGAAATTTAGTGACGAGGTGAACCTGAAATATTTCATGAGGAAAGACTTCTAGAAAAATTATATTCCATCCACCCAAGTAATCACTCAAAACCCGATAAATGCATTTACTGTTACATTTTTCATTAACTATGTCTGGGATAGTCATGAATACTAAAATACTAGTTAACACTAAATTGGCTTACCAATCTGCCGCCTCTTAATAACTCCCTTCACCGCCTCGTTCACCATCATCCTCTCTCGCGCACACACATTTCAAGGCGGCGTAGCGCGTTATTACCGCCGCTAGCTGTCAGCAGTTGGAGGTAAGGTAGAAACACACTATTGTCAAGTCACTTGAAATCACGTGTTGTCAGGTGAGCTCATAGAAAAAAGTGCGGAGAATTGTTATCAATGCAGATACTATAATTATAGCTCAGCGTGCACGATGCACGAACATCCAAACTCTGATCATTATATCATATTGTTACACCGATAGTCTTAAACGCAATAAGGACATATTATAATATGGGTAGGTATAGTATTATATAGGAATTCAGTGACTCGGTTAACTTGACATAATATTTTCAGAGACTACACCAATAATAATATTCTATCCACCATCCATAAGCCCAATAAAGGCTGTCATATTTTTAAGAATCCGTGATAGTAGGTAGTTCATACTAAAATATTTGTTAACACTAATAACTGGCCAATATTTTCTATTACTACTCTGCCACCTCTCGATTACACCGACCCCTTCGCTGGCACTAACCGAACGACCACTGGAATAACGCTACACGCGAGCGCGATACATATTATACCACTACCACAGTGTTCACAGAGTAACCGGACAGGTACACGACGCATAATGTATAATAATGCTCACACTATTGTAGTGTATATTGTTCTGCGGTGGGACAAAATTCACCGTGTACGGATCGACATGGAAAAACTCGGCGACAAAAACACACTAAACATTTTAGGCGAGTGCACAGTTTCATATATTATTATTATGTAGGTATATAACATGATATGTACACGCGGCGGTGGCGGTACCCTCCGGCTATATTATTATACGTAGGTACGACGAACATTTTTTTTTTTTTTTTTTTCCGTCGCGAATAACCTAATATGCAAATGCGTTATGTCGTCTAGTATATACGCCTAAACGCGTATCTATGTGCAGTGTGCAAACACGCCGGCGTGTGATTATTGAATGCAAACGGTGCACAAAGAATGTCAACATTTTTTATATTAAATTGTAAAAATGCACGCAAATTTGAATACAGTGGCTGCTGCTGCTGCTAAGGCTCCGGAGCAAGTAAACGTGACATATTATTTTATTATTCTATTATACGGTCCCTATCCGCAGCCCGTTTGAAAATGTTAACCAAGCGTACGTGGTAGGTATACGTGGCGGGCGAGACGAAAATATTTTACTTGCCCTCGTTATCATTATAATGTAGGCTCATATATTTATCGGTGATTTTGGTTTTTTTATAAAATCAGATGTGTATTGTAAATTAGACGGTACAACACGGTGTAGTACACCTTCCTAATACTATGATCGGCCGACGTTTCCATGTAGTCCGAATCATTCTTCGGTTATAAACCAATCGTTTTAATAATTTACTCAGGGGGGAGGGGCAGAGTACATTTTATTTTCAAAAAATATTTATGCGTACCCCATATACTATGATTAACACTTATATAGAAATTCCAGATCAATAAGAAATTTAAATATTACTCTGCAGGTATGCAAGTATTTTTTTTTTTTTATATACTTTTGAATCCTCATTCTAATTTTCTCCCAATTCAAATACTGGGAATAACATATTAAATATTATGTGTTTGTTTGTTAAATATAATATTAAATCAGAACCGCGTTTGACGAGATTAACTGTGTGCATATTTTGTATAATATATAATGTATATATGTAGGTGCTTAATATTTTGACCGCATAATATTACCTACGTAATATGTGAACGAAAAACGTTATATAATATTTGTATTGAATTATAAAGACGTATGCAAATACAAACGCATACCTACATCAGAGCATCAGAACCGACGTGCATAATACCACGTGTCGTTTTAAATAATAGTTTTGATAAAATGAAAATAGAAAAAAACATTTTTCGAGATAATAATTAAATAAGACTCGCTTATAAGTTAAAATGCGTTTCGTCTAAGGAAGAATACAGATAGGTACGATAAATGAAAAACACGATACAACACGAAGCATAAAGGTATTATTAAAAAACTTGAAAAAAATTGTAATACGCTTTTTTTAAATATAAAATGAATTTCATCCAGTTTTTTCTTTTCATATTATACGTACGTCTAAAAATATAGTTTCAAGTGCTCTCAGTTTTGATCACAACTCTATACGAAAAAAAAATGATGAGAGTCTACCGTGATACGAAATATATTTCTATATCAAACATTTTGACCTTCATATATGTTGCAACTATAGGCATATTTAATACAAAGCATTTTTAAATAAACTCGTAGGTACACAACATTTGGAGTTTAATATAAACTTATAAATTATATACACATTACAATTGTTCATATTATACAGATATAAATATGGAATAGTAAATTTCAGTACAATAAAGATATTTTAAGTGTTATTTTTTACTTAATATTTGTTTTTTAACATATTTAAAATAGGCACATAATCTGTATAAATTAACACGGAAAGTATATATTATGTGATGGTGTGTGATTTCCGACATGAGTTTAACATGTATAATAATCCACCCACTAGATTAGGTTAGGTTAGGTAATGATACTATCAATATAATATAAGATCGACGACTATTTATAAGAAGGTGTTGAAGTGTAGGAATAATAATTAAGAAATGTTCCAAAGACTGTATGTTAATAGTTAAAACTTAAAACTGTTAAAAGTATACTACATGAGAAAGATATATATTACAATTATATTCTATGGCCATAGGATACAGTGATAAGGGGGGGGGGGGGGGGTTATTAGTGAAGTAATACCTATCAGGAAAACATTTTGTTAACGATGTTTTAATTTTAGAATTATTGGATAGGTACTTTAGTCTTTAATATTGTTGGAGTCAAAAGCGACAGAGGCGTACGATCGGATTACGGGAGAGGGTATGACTGATGAGTAAAAAAAGAAAACTGTGTTTTTTTAATAAGATTATGACTGTTTGGATGATTTATTCAGCGCTTGAAAAAGATTTGTAGTTTGGACGTTCCTTGAAGTTGAATGTCTGAGCACCCCCACAAAGGCGCACTTGTCTGGACTGCTTTTGTCTTTGCTACAATATTTTGAAAGGCGATCTTTCCTACACTTGACGTAGCGGGAAGCATGATTAAAGAAATTTGAAGTATAAACATAGTGTGACAGTATTGTGACACTGGGGTGGACCACTCTTGGTTTTACATGGAATTTCACTTTAGTACCTGCGTAGGTACTATAATGAACGATAGGCTGAGTTTTTTCCAATATTATTATTTAGGTCTGCGAAAAAATATTTAGTGGATGCCACCCTTTTTACGTTCACAGCGCGTCGAACAAAATGTGTTACTCCAATATTTGGCTAGACCTTCAGATATATCAGAGATATCAAGAGTTGGGTGGAGAAGGTTTTGATAATGGCCTTACGCAGGTGTCTTAGAATCGACTAAAGTAAAAAAAAATATTTTATGTTAATAATAAACTTATATATATATAGATAATAAAATAAAAGTGTAAAGCTATCTAATATGAGTGATTATAACTTTCATGTTAAAAAATTCCATTTCACACTAACAGGTCTATCCTAAATATAGGGTATTTCAATAAGGACGCTGGATGTTTCATAGTGAAAAAAACAAGTTGTGTGTGAGATATCTACTTAATTTTTATTTTATTTTAAATAACGTTATATAGCAATTATTTATAGAATATAACATCGTTAAAATGTCCGCCTCGGCTTTGCTTGGTGGCACGTATTCGGGAGGTCCAATTTTCTATCACTTTGTCGCATAAATCTGGTTGAATTTGCTGGATGGCGTTGGTTATGTTGACTTTGAGGGCATCAATTGTTTGTGGTTTATTTGCATAGAATTGAGATTTAAGATAGCCCCAAGAAAAAAAGTCTAAAGGCGTTAAATCGCACGATCTCGGAGGCCAGTTTATGTCACCATATCACCATGATATCACCATGCCCTCAAATTGTTCACGCAGAATGTCCATCGTTGCACTCGCTGTGTGACACGTAGGACCATCCTGCTGGAACTACATGTCCTCAGTATCCATATCATAGAGCTTAGGCCAAAATAAGTTGTTGATCTGTAGCACTCACCGTTGATGGTTATGGTAAAGCCTGTTTCGTTTTGAAAGAAGTACGGACCAATGATTCCGCCAGACCAAAATCTGCAGCAAACAGTGACTGATTTTTTTGATCGAAGTTTGGATCAACTGCTAACTGCCCCAGAACCCAATCAGCGAATACACGGCGTTGTGTATGGTCGTTTACCTTAAGTGCTTGTGTTTGTTGGATTTTATACTTATGCAGACTCAAGTCTTGACTCGAAATTCGACAAGTTAAAGTAGCAGAAAGCCCAAGTTCTTGTGAAAGACGAGAAACTGACTGTCTTGGGTTTTCCCGTACACTATCACGCACAGCAGCGATGTCCTCAATGGATCTTGCATTTCGTTGACGTATGGGTGTTGGCTGATAATTTATTGAACCAGTTGACTCGAATTTGGCTACCAAACGTCGAATAGTCGACTCAGCAGGACGGTTGTGTCGAGGATAAAAATCGTGGAAAGTTTCTCTAACGGAGCACTGATTTTGGTAATAAAATGTAATTGTACGCACACGTTGTTTTACACTATAACCGTTCATGGTGATTTTCCAAACTTTACTGAACAATTCACAACAATTATGCAGATAACGCTTTTATGACATTCCCGATATATCCGATCAAAGTTCGAGTGTCTCTATTGAAATGATGTATTTAATAAATGTATCCACTAAACGACGAATGTATAAGAATAATGAATAAACTCTCACAAGGGGATCGACTTAGAAATCGTCGAAGATCGACCGTTTGCAGGTCATCCCTGCCTTATAGGACTGTAACAGTGATTGGACAAATGAGTGGTAGCTAGCTGGCACCTGTATTACTCACACGATTTAAGATAGCATGTTTTGTAATTTACCCGAGAAGCTCAATGGGGCTCAGTATTTTTTTTTTTTTAATAATTTTAAACTAAATAAATAAATCCTAAGGGTCCGTGTGGGGAAAATAATCAAATACTAAAATGTTACTACGAGTTAATTAAGTGCCCTGCGTGTTCATATGGTAATGTTTTACAATATTAGACGGTCAAAAAATAATCCAGTAAGTATAGATTGTATCATTGAGACTTGAGTTACTTTTTAAAATATTATAAACTGGACAAATATCATGAGAACCTAATACCGTACATTATTACAATAAACAAAATTATTTGTTTTTAAATAACGCTTTGCAGAAAATCAAATTAAAACATATTAATATATAATATAATATGTTTGAAATTTGAATGTGTTTTGTTTGAGTTTGTTATTTTACAAAAACTCTTAGGTTTTAGGTACTCTGGTATGTTTAAAACGAAAGAATTATAAATTGTATTGTTTTCATAAAGTTATAATTTATTTCGCGTGGACGAGTACACATTTAATTTATGTATAAAAACGTAAACCGTTGCAGAGTTGTGCCACCGGTGTCGAAAAGTTATTTGACAGATAAAGTTTCATTATACTATTATTATCAAGTATATTTTTAACAATCATTACGGAATGAGCAAATTTATTACCAAGGGACATAATTATTTCACATGAACGGATATAATATATTATAGTGTCTATTTTTATGGTTTCGTGACGATCGTAAATATTACATAATAATATTATATTTGGTGTTTTAGCTTATTAATAATCGATACGGACGATAATGAAGATAATAATATTATTACGGATGTGTGAGAGGGGAAAAAATATATAACGAAGCCATTAAATCTCCATAATCTTAACTGTTTACTGTTTGTACTTGGGACCCCTTCCAACCGTGCATACACACACACACACAAACACACACACACACACACATACACACACACACACACACACACACACACACACACACACACACACACACACACACACACACACACACACACACACACACACACACACACACACACACACTTAAAACAACACCGAAGAGCTGAGACGGGCCCATCGGTAACGAAAGTGCCAGAGACATTTAACCGTGAGGTTCCTCGAATAACGTCTTTATATCTATAATTTCTCCCCGTAGGATCTGGGCCAATATTCGACAGAACACTATACGCCCACTTTCATTTCACGATAATACACCCACATACACGCGTGCGCTCGCATAACAAATTATTGTGATACGCGAATTTTCCCTCGACTTCTGTCAACACGATTATAATAGGGCGTACCTATGCTACATGATAATAATAATATTATAATGCAATATTATGTGTTTTCCGGCGAAATATTGCGAAGCACAAAAATACTCTTACATATTCTTATGTTGAGTTGCAAACATCGTCAAAAGGCTTTATCCGGAGGATTTGAAAAAAATTGTACACCTAAATCACAAATGAAATAATTCATACATAAAGCTCTCCGCATATACACACGGAAAATTGTCCTGATCTTCGTGTGCTCATAAAAGCGTGTCTGAAGAACGGTCGAGGGGGGGGGAAGTACTATAGGATTAAAACTGTTCAACAGGTATAACTCTTATCGTAACACCCCCGCGGGATGCTATTGGAATTTCTTGGATTGTATTTTTTCTTATCCACCGGTCCTGCCATCGCGAATATTGTTGGCCGATGCGAATTGTAGGCCACCGATCGTCCGTTGTCATTCACCAGTCAATCGAGCACTTCTCTGAACACGAGAGCAAGCACAAATAAATAGTACGGTTATCTTGGGTTGTCATCTGAGCTGGTTAATTGACATAGCAGTTTGATCATACGGATCGGCAGTAACCGTATAAACATTAAACAGCAAAGCGGCAGCGGCGTATACGATTTTAATTTGACTTGTCCGGGACTTGAACAATAATTGACTCGGCGTATAAATTGGTCACGCCACTGTGAAAGCCGTGAGGAATTTAAGTTAAAACTGAATAACTATCGCCGGGAAAAAAGACGCGGACATGTACATTCGTGCGGTGCAGGTTTGGTGCTTGGTGGGGATATTACATCTTGGTATAAGTTTCCGTCGGAAACGCACGGAGCGGGGACGCTTTGGCCAGTAATTATCCAATGAACATCAACAACCCGTGGTATATAATATAAAATATATATTATTATATACATAAGAAGTACAAGCGCGGAAGTTTTTGCACTCTAAGTGTTATTTATTTGAGCCCTGCTCGTCGACAACTTTAACCGGGTGGTCTGGAGGTAAATCTTCTGCAGTATCCACATTTCACGGTCGACCCATTTCGCGGCGCTCACGATTATGCAATAATTATTAAATAGTTCCGTGGATGAACAATATTATACACATACCTACGGCGCGCACGGTTTTACGCAGAGTTCAACTTTCGGAGGGAGCTGAAAATAATAATGCCTGTTTTAGGGAGTTGAATTTCCAAAAATAATAACGTAAGTTTGGGAGTGGCGATGGCTGCACCCGGTCGTGCTGTTATTGTGCCGATATCATGTGTTGTTTAATACTACATTATATCGATGTGGCTCCGAACGATCCCCTCCATCCCCCCTTCGCGTTCCGTTATTATTAAATGTTGACTATAAAATATATAAGGCAACGCAATTATAATAATATTCTACTGTCGAATACTTTGCTTTTTCTTTCATTGAGATATACCTACGACTTTTAATCACACGTTTATGCAGCATAACAGTTTTACGTAATGTCTGTACTACAATGGTCATTGACAGTGTCACAGCTTATACAACAAAATGGTTCTATACTTCCATCCGCTGATTATTTTAGATTTTCACAAACGGACTGCACAACGACTACTATAATTGCAAAAGCGAATAGATACCAGGTATCTACTACCTACCGACTGAAATCGGTCGATGACGCAACACGCAAAGACGACCGTCTTGGTATTGGTGTGCGATAAATATAATTACTCTAGCAACGCGTTGCAATATTATGCAATGACGTGAACCAATAACGAATAACTGCACTGCAGAGGTGCCCACCGATGCACTCGTCGAGTGCATGGTTATAATAAAATATGTTTTGAAATAATAATATTATATCGCCGTTGGCTGCTCGCACTCCGAGAACGCGAGTTATCGTTTGTTTACTTTTTTCAAATTTAAAAGATCAATCGCAACTGGTCGTGTGTTACGTCTGGTACGCGCACGGTAAATGCATATTATACATAATGATACATATTAGTATTATTGTACCTAATATTATGTTATTTTCGTCACGCATTTAATTAAAACGGTTTTAGCCGCGTGTGGTTCAACAGGTCGTCTTCTCCACAGCCGTGTGACATACGCTGCTCGCACACAACATAATCATGTACATGTAATAATATACAACTACGTGTTATCACAATATATATATTATATATTTTCTCATTGTCTGGTCCGGAAACGACCGGCCGTTAACATTTAAAGGGATCCTGTGGCGGCATTGGGATTATGATCCGACGTAGTCGTAATAATATGACATTTACTTTGTATACGCACGATGACGCCGAAATTCTCCACCGAGAATTCGGGGTACCTTCGTATACGGTACATATAATAATAATCATATGTGCTTGTACAATACTTCCCGCCTTCATAATATCATTGTTATTATTATTATTGCTAATATAATATAGTATGCGTGTGTGAGATAAAAGTTTATATTTCCATATTATAATATATATATAATCTCTTCGTCCTTATAACATATTATGTACATCAAAGAACCTGGACGCGTCTGCTTCGGTCCTTTATTTTAACAATAATGTCGATAGTAATATTATATTATTGTAAACAAGAATTTTTTTTTTTATTTCGTAACTAAAGGGTAGGTAATATAGTGTTTATGTTATATTATTATTATATTACAATATTATATCACCTGCCATCGAAATCGATCCGTGACTCGCCGCCGTGGTTAAACCAAACGCGAAAACCCGTAGGTATTGTATAATATTATTACCGTGTACGAAAATTGGTCTGAGGGAAAAAAAACCGTCTCGGGGGACGTGGACCGGACGACGACGATTTAACGATGTTTTTAAACGGTGGAACGAAAAAAAATATAAAAAATAAAATCGTACACTCGTTTTGTATATATAGTACACCATTTCGGGATTAAACTAGAAGGGACCTAACCTGAAGCGTGCTTATAATATTATTATGATGTATATAAACGTGTGTTCGATATAAATGTTAATCAGACGCGTTTCGGGACCGTGGTTTACCGCAGGTGACGACGATATACCACGGTGTAACTTTAATCACACGCCGTTCACGTATAGCATTTTACAGTGTAATTTAAAATTGTGAACACGCGTCAAACGTGGATTCCGCGGTGCGGGTACAAATAAAATTACTCAAATTTCTAAGCCACTCGTATTCACGTTGTAAGTAAATTTTCATTACACACAAGCGTGCGCGCACACACACACACTCACACATACGCATATTTGTAGACTAAGAATATGCTTACCTATTATACCTATCAGAGGCGTGCTCAGCTTTTTTGAAGGTAGAGGAGGATAAACAATGTCTTAATTTCAATTTATCGGCATAATCGTAAAATTTTTAGTGATGCGAAATCTAAAATTTGTATCCCATACAACCCATCCACTAAATAATAAATATTTATACTGA